ATCCTTCGTCGATGAGATTTTCCGGGACATGCAGGGGCAGGGAGTAGTCGTGTACATAGACAATATTCTGGTGTACAGTTCTACCCGAGCAGAGCATGTAGCCCTGGTGCGCCGAGTGTTAAGGAGGCTGTTGGAGCATGACCTATATGTCAGGGCAGAGAAATGTCTGTTCTTTCAGAAGTCGGTCTCCTTTTTGGGTTATCAGTTGTCTGCATCAGGGGTGAAGATGGAGGTTGACCGGGTGTCAGCTGTGCGTAATTGGCAAACCCCAACCACTGTGAAAGAGGTGCAACAGTTCTTGGGTTTTGCGAATTACTACCGGAGGTTTATCCAGGGTTTTGGACAGGTGGCAGCTCCCATAACGTCTCTGTTGAAGGGGGGTCCGGTGCGCTTGCGGTGGTCAGCTGAGGCGGACAGGGCTTTTGGGAGACTGAAGGACCTGTTTACCTCGGCGCCGGTGTTGGCGCATCCGGATCCCGCTTTGCCATTCCAGGTAGAGGTAGACGCGTCCGAGGCCGGTATTGGGGCCGTTCTCTCACAACGGTCTGGCACACCACCTAAACTCCGCCCCTGTGCTTTTTATTCTAAGAAGCTCAGTCCGGCGGAGCGGAATTATGACGTAGGGGACAGGGAGCTGTTAGCCGTGGTACAGGCCCTAAAGGTGTGGAGGCATTGGCTTGAGGGGGCTCAACACCCTTTCCTCATTTTGACTGACCACCGTAACCTGGAATACATCCGGGCAGCTAGGAGACTGAATCCTCGCCAGGCCCGCTGGACTATGTTTCTAGCCCGGTTTGTGTTTAAAATCACTTACATCCCTGGGTCCCAGAACGGGAAGGCAGATGCCCTGTCTCGGCGGTATGACACGGAGGAGAGGTCCGTTGAGCCCATCCCATACTACCAAAGTCTTGTCTGGTTGCACCGGTGGTATGGGAGGTCGATGCAGAGATCGAGCGGGGCGTTACGCACCGACCCAAGTCCTCCACAGTGTCCAGTGGGTCGGACGTACGTTCCGCTCGAGGTACGCGATCGCCTCATTTATTGGGCTCATACGTCCCCCTCCTCTGGACATCCAGGTATCGGCCGGACAGTTCACTGCCTTAGCACTAAGTACTGGTGGCCAACGTTAGCCAGGGATGTGAGGATTTATGTCTCCTCCTGTTCGGTGTGTGCCCAGTGTAAGGCGCCCAGACATTTGCCCAGGGGTAAGCTACAACCCCTGCCCGTTCCACAACGACCCTGGTCCCACCTCTCGGTGGATTTTGTTACAGACCTTCCCCCCTCACAGGGGAATACTACCATCCTGGTCGTTGTGGATCGGTTCTCGAAGGCCTGTCGTCTCCTTCCCATGCCGGGTCTCCCTACTGCCCTACAGACCGCTGAGGCTCTGTTTACCCATGTCTTCCGGCATTACGGGGTACCCGAGGATATAGTGTCTGATCGAGGCCCCCAGTTCACCTCCAGAGTGTGGAGAGCGTTTATGGAACGGTTGGGGGTTTCGGTGAGCCTTACCTCGGGTTACCACCCGGAGAGTAATGGGCAGGTTGAATGTGTCAACCAGGATGTGGGTAGGTTTCTGAGGTCTTATTGCCAGGGCCGGCCGGAGGAGTGGGCGAGATACGTTCCGTGGGCCGAGATGGCACAGAACTCTCTCCGCCACTCCTCCACCCAACTAACCCCTTTCCAGTGTGTGTTAGGGTACCAGCCGGTTCTGGCACCTTGGCACGAGAGCCAGATCGAGGCCCCTGCGGTGGATGAGTGGGTGCGGCGCTCGGAGGAGACATGGAACGCTGCCCACGTTCATCTGCAGCGGGCCATCCGTCGGCATAAGACGAGCGCCGATCTCCACCGCAGTGAGGGGCCTGTGTACGCACCTGGAGATCGAGTCTGGCTCTCGACCAGAAACCTGCCCCTCCGCCTGCCCTGCCGGAAGCTGGGTCGGCGGTTTGTGGGGCCATTCAAAGTCCTGAGGAGGTTGAACGAGGTGTGTTACAGGTTAGAACTGCCTATTGATTACAGGAATATTAACCCCTCGTTCCATGTGTCTCTCCTCAGGCCGGTGGTAGCTGGTCCACTCCAGGACTATGAGATAGAAGAGACTCCTCCGCCCCCGTTGGACATCGAGGGGGCTCCGGCGTACACTGTGAGGTCCATCCTTGATTCGAGACGCCGGATGGGGAGTCTCCAATATCTCGTGGAGTGGGAGGGGTACGGCCCGGAGGAGCGGTGCTGGGTGCCGAGGAGGAACATATTAGACCTGTCCCTGCTGACCGAGTTCCATCGGGGTCATCCTACGCGCCCTGCTCCGCGTCGTCCTGGTCGTCCCCGAGGCCGGGATCGGCGTCAAGGGGGGGGTACTGTCACGGTTTCGGCCGAGGCTGCTCCTCCTCCTTGTTCGGGCAGGCTTCGGCGGTCGTCGTCCCCGGAGTACTAGCTGCCACCGTTCGATGTTTCATGTTTGTTTGGTTTTGTCTGTTTGTACACCTGTCCCTTGTTAGTGTTTGATTTGGTTGCCTATTTAGTTTTCGTGTGTGGGGGCAGGTGTTATGTGGTATTGTTTATTGTCAAAGCTGTTGCTCTTTTGTATTACTCTCGTGTTTGTTGTTTTCCGAGAGTCCGCACTATCTTCATTTTACGCACTGTGTGTGTTGTGCGTAATTTGTATTTTGCCTCCCGGTTGGGTTGGCTCTTCGCCTGTTTGGTGCTGCATTTTGTTAACTAAAGTCTGTTGACGAACGCCCGTGTTTTCTGCGCTTGATTTCCTCACCGCATCTACACTCAGCTACTGACAGAAACAATGAATGTGCAAGAACTGTTGGGAGACAGCTGAGTGGATTCTGGAGAGCTGAGAGCATGCATTCTGGAGAGCTGAGAGCATGCATTCTGGAGAGCTGAGAGCATGCATTCTGGAGAGCTGAGAGCATGCATTCTGGAGAGCTGAGAGTATGCATTCTGGAGAGCTGAGAGCATGCATTCTGGAGAGCTGAGAGCATGCATTCTGGAGAGCTGAGAGCATGCATTCTGGAGAGCTGAGAGCATGCATTCTGGAGAGCTGAGAGCATGCATTCTGGAGAGCTGAGAGCTTATAGACTATCTTCGCCAAACACCCCTCCCCTTCTTCTTGACTCAACATTCTAAATTATACTCAAGACACATTATCTTCACACATATTTTAGATGCTTTTCACTGACAGCCTCAACTCAATAATCAGCTAGGCCTTTTGCCACACACACTGCCTATGAAAGACTTCCTCATATGCCATTTCTCTCCTGTTTTATTGGTTGTCACACTTTCTTTTGTTGTCCAGGGTTTTTACACTCTTATGTAGAGTGCAAAGAACCTTGGCGTGACCCTGGACAACACCCTGTCGTTCTCCGCTAACATCAAGGCGGTGACCCGATCCTGTAGGTTCATGCTCTACAACATTCGCAGAGTACGACCCTACCTTACACAGGAAGCGGCACAGGTCCTAATTCAGGCACTTGTCATCTCTCGTCTGGATTACTGCAACTCGCTGTTGGCTGGGCTCCCTGCCTGTGCCATTAAACCCCTACAACTCATCCAGAACGCTAAAGCCCGTCTGGTGTTCAACCTTCCCAAGTTCTCTCACGTCACCCCGCTCCTCCGCACACTCCACTGGCTTCCAGTTGAAGCTTGCATCTGCTACAAGACCATGGTGCTTGCCTACGGAGCACTGAGGGGAACGGCACCTCCTTACCTTCAGGCTCTGATCAGTCCCTACACCCAAACAAGGGCATTGTGTTCTTCCACCTCTGGCCTGCTTGTCCCCCTACCTCTGCGGAAGCACAGTTCCAACTCAGCCCAGTCAAAACTGTTTGCTGCTCTGGCACCCCAATGGTGGAACAAGCTCCCTCACGACACCAGCACAGCGGAGTCACTGACCACCTTCCTGAGACACTTGAAACCCTACCTCTTTAAGGAATACCTGGGATAGTATAAAAGTAATCCTTCTACCCCCCCCACAACAAATAAAATAATAATAATAAATATAAAAATATTAATAATAATTAATATAAAAATATTAATAATAAATATATATATATATATATAAAACAAATGAAAATTAAAAATATACTCTAAAAATTAAAAAATTATTTAAAAAAACATTGTAAAGTGGTTGTCCCACTGGCTATCATAAGGTGAATGCACCAATTTGTAAGTCGCTCTGGATAAGAGCGTCTGCTAAATGACGTAAATGTAAATGTAGCTGTCATAAAAAGCCATAAAATAACACAATATATGACACAACAGGTCTAGATATGTGTCATGACAGTTATATGACCATATTATAATAGGTTATGACAAGTTATGTCAGCTGTTATGACAGATTATGACATGGTTATGACCGTGTCAAGTAAAATCCACAGTACTGTATGCTCCTGTACAGCACAGAGAAACTAGAGGCCAGTTTGACTGCAGCACTGCACTGCGTTTCTGTATGCATCCTGCGGTGCATGTTGTGGAGGCAGGCCCGACAGCTATCGCACAGCTGACGGTGTGTGTGTGTGTGCTGCCCTCTCACTGCGGAATGTGGGTGCAAACAGGGTTTGGCAGTGATGTACTGAGAGAACATCCCCAGTGACAGCCCCAGCCAGCAATAGAGCAGAACACACACGCTCGCCCACTCGCACACGCTCGCTCGCACACACCCTCGCTCGCACGCATGCACGCTCACACCCTCGCTCGCACGCATGCACGCTCACACGCTCGCTCGCACACACCCTCGCTCACACGCACGCTCGCCCACACGCACTCACACGCACGCTCACACGCACGCACACGCTCACTCACATGCACGCACACGCTCACCCACACGCTCGCCCACACACAAGCTCATGCTCGCCCCCCCCCCCACACACACACACACAGCTCATGCTCGCCCCCCCCCCCCCCCCCCCACACACACACACAAGCTCATGCTCGCCCCCCCCCCCCCCCCCCACACACACACACACACACGGCCGGTGTGTACAAAGTTTTTAAGTCTCTGGAGAGAGCAGTAGACAGTGTTCTCCTCCAGTGTCCCTGAGCGGAGCAGAGTGGGGCAGGCCGGTTTGGGCTGGCACACAGTGTGACGAGCCAGAGCAGACACACACCAAAGAGGATGTCTGAAGAGCCACTGGACCGTGCTCGCAGGCTGCCATCACACAGCTGCTGCACCAACTGGACAGTCACACACACACATGCAGTCACACAAAAACAGACACACACTCAGCTCTCACACACACACCACTCACACACACACACACACACACCCCTCACACACACACACACACCCCTCACACACCCCTTCACACACCTCTCACACACACACACACACACACACCCCTCACACACACCCCTCTCACACACACACACACACACACCCCTCACACACACACACACACACACCCCTCACACACACACACACACACCCCTCACACACACACACACACCCCTCACACACACACACACACCCCCCTCACACACACACACACACACACCCCTCACACACACACACACCCCTCACACACACACTCAGCTCTCACACACACCCCTCAGACAAACTGCACTCACTCTCCTGTAGTTTTCAAATATACTCTCTAACCCTCATTCTTGCTCTCCCTCTCCATCCCTCTCTCTCTCAATTTCTCTCCAGTGCTTTGGTGTTATCGGAGCAATCAATAGAGAGGTGATTATTATTCCTCTAGCAGAGCCCACACATAACTTGACCTCCCTCACTCCATCTCTCTGTGTAATGATACTGAGTGTATAGTGGGGGTATAGCAGATAATGTGGGAATATCAATGTGGCTTTAAGGTCAATGTTGGTAGTGGGTGGATAGGTGGAATCAGTGTTGTGGTAATAGCCTATCGACTCATCCAGATGAGGTATTCTGTTACTTATCTTTGGTCTGTCCATTTTGGGTGGGGTATGGTAGGCATTGAGCCTTAGTGTTGGGGGTAGTCAGAGACCCATATCGTATTACCACCCAATAAGGACCACATTTAATACTACATTTACATTTTAGTCATTTTAGCAGACGCTCTTATCCAGAGAGACTTACAGTTAGTGAGTGCATACATCATTATTTTTTATATATAGTTATATATTTTTCATACTGGCCCCCCATGGGAATCGAACCCACAACCCTGGCGTTGCAAACCAACTGAGCTACATCCCTGCCGGCCATTCCCTCCCCTACCCTGGACGAAGCTGGGCCAATTGTGCGCCGCCCCATGGGTCTCCCGGTCGCGGCCGGCTACGACAGAGTCTGGAATCGAACCAGGATCTCTGGTGCAGTGCCTTAGACCACTGTGCCACTCGGGAGGTAGAACTCATTGGTTTCTAATACTAATGACTAAAGTTATAGTTATCATACTAAATAGTTCAGTACTACTGAACTATAAACAAGTAGTTGTATAGAACATAATGGCTGAATATGGTTAGTATGTCAGTCTTACCTCATGGTGCGGAGGTCCCAGCCTCTGATTGCTGTGTCGTTGGCTGTGGCCAGCTGGGTACAGTTGTGATGCGGACTCCACTTCCCAGCCGTGAATTTCAGTTGACCTTTACCCTCTAGGGTGGCACTGCTGGAAATCTGGAGGGGAAAGGGTTAACGATTACTACACCTGAACACACACGTCAATCATTGAGTATGGCGAGGAAGGCTAAGAGTTAATATATTGATGGATCTGTTTAGACAGGCCTTCCCTAGTGTATAGCTGATCTCACCCTCCTTCACACAGCAGTCAATGACAGGTTCAATGACTCTTGAAGGATATTGTTTCCATTGTGAATATCTATATACTGTTACTCATGAATCACCAGTTGATGGACCCTCTGAGTCTGTACTGACTCATTTCATACATCTGCATCTCTGTGTGTCTGTGTGTGTCTGTCTCTCTCTCTGTGTGTGTGTGTGTGTCTCTCTCTCTCTCTCTGTGTGTGTGTGTGTGTGTGTGTGTGTGTGTGTGTGTCTCTCTGGTGTGTGTGTGGTGTGTGTGTGTCTCTCTCTGGTGTGTGGTGGTCTCTCTGTGTGTGTGTGTGTGTGTGTGTTTTTGTGGGGGTCTTTTATGTGGTGTGTCTCTCCTCTGGGGGTGGTGTGTGGGTGTGGGTGGTGTTGTGTGTGTTGTGTGTGTTTTCTCCTCTTTTCCCGTGGTGTGTTGGGTGTGTGTTTTCTCTCTCTTTGGGGTGTGGGTGGGTGTGGGTTCTCTATTTTGGTGTGTGTGTGGGTCTCTCTCTCTTGTTGTGTGTGGGTGTGTTTTCTCTGGGGTGTGTGGGTGTGTGTGTTGTCTCCCCTCTCTGTGGGTGTGTGGTTTTGGTGTCTCTATTCTGGGTGGGTTGTGTGTGTGTTCTTCCCTTTTGGGTTTTGTTGGGTGTGTTGTGGGTCTTTCTCTGTGGTGTGGGGTGTGGTCCCCTGGGGGGTGTGTTTTGTGGTCTCCTCTGTGTGTGTGTGTGTGTTTTTCTCTCTCTGTGTGGGTGGGGGGTGTGTTGTCTCTTTTGTGGTGTGTGTGTGTTGTGTTGTGTGTGTGTGTTTCTCTGTGTGTGGGTGTGTGTGGGGTGTTTTGTTCTTTGTGTGTTTTGGTATTTTGTGTTTTGATTTTGGGTGTGTGGGTGTGTGTTTTGGGGGTGGGGTTTGTTGGTGTGTGTTTTGTTATGTGGTATGGGTGGGTGTGTGTGTAGTATGTGTTTTGTGGGTGGGTGTGGGTGTCTTCTCTGGGTGGTGTGTGTTCTCTCTCTGTGGGTGGGGTGTGTGGGTCTCTCTCTTATGTGGGGTGTGTTTGGTGTGTGTTTCTCTTCTGTGTGGGGTTTTGGTTGTGTTTTCTCTCTCCTTGTGTGTGGGGTTGTGTGGGTCTCTTTCCTGTGTTTTTTGTGTTTTGTGTGTTTTGTGTGTGTGTCCTTTTTGTGTGTGTGTTTTTGTGTGTGTTTCTTGTGTGTGGGGTTTTGTGTGTGGTGTGTGGTATGTGTGTGGGGTGTTGTATTTTGGTTTTTGTGTGTGTATGTGGTGTGTGTGTATGTGTGTGGGGTGTTTTGTATGTGTATGTTCCTTTTTGGTGGGTGGTCTCTTCTTGGTGGGGGTGTGTGTGTGTTTGGGTTCTCTCTCTGTGTGTGTGTGTGGGGGTGTGGTTTCTTCTTGTGTTTTGGGGGTGTGTTGTGTTTTTCTACTCTTGTGGTGTGTGTGGGTGTGTTTTCTCTCTCTCTCTGTGTGTGGTGTGTGGTCTCTCTTTCTTTTTGTTGTGTGGGGGTTTGGGTCTCTCTCCTCCTTTGGGGGGTTTTGGTGTGTTCTCTTCTCTTTTTGTGTGGTGTTTTGGTTTTTGTCTCTCTTTCTGGGGTGGTTTTGTTGTGTGTCTCTCTTCCCCTTTTGTTTTGTGTGTTTTGGGGGTTTTTTTCTCTCTTCCCGGGTGGGTTGTGGGTGTTTCTCTCTCTCTGTGTGGGGGTGGGGGTTTGTCTCTAAAGTTTTGTGTTTTGTGTGGGGTGGGTTCTTCTCTTCTTTGTGTGGTGTGTGTGTTCTATCTATTCTTGGTTGGTGGGGTGTGTCTCTCTCTTCCCCTTTTGGGGTGTTTGTGTGTGTGTGTTATCTCCCCATCTTTGTGTGTTTGGGTCTTCCTATTTGTGGGTGTGTGGTTTCTCTCTATTGTTGTGTGTGTTTGGCTCTCTTCTCTCTGGTGGTGTGGGTGTGTTGTCTTTCTTTTTCTGGGGTGTGTGGTGGTGGTTTTCCCCTTTTTTGTGTGGTTTTGTGTGTGTGTGGTGTTTCTTCTCTCTGGGGGTGTGGTCTCTCTTCCTGTGGTGTGTGGGGGTGTCCCCTCTCTCTCTCTGGGTGGGGTGGGTGTGGGTTTCTCTCTCTCTTCTGTGTTGTGGGTGGTCTTTTCTTCCCCCTTTGTTTTGTGTGTGTTGGGGTTTCTCTTTTATATGTGTGTGTTTTTGGTTTCTCTCTTTTGTGGGTGGGTGTGTGTGTTTGTTCTCTCTCTTTTGGGGGGGTTGTGTGGGTGGGGGTGTCTCTCTCCCCTTTGTGTGTGTGTGTCTCTCTCTCTCTGTGTGTGTGTTTTGGGTGTTCTCTATTTTTCTGTGTGTGGTGGGTGGGTTGTCTCTCTCCTCTTCTGTGTGTTTTGGGGTGTGTCTCTCTCTTTCTGGGGGTGGGTGTGTGTGTGTTTTCCCTATTTGTGGGTGTGTGTGTGTGGGTGTCTCTCTCTTTCTGTGGGGGTTGTCTTTTCTCTTGGTGTGTGTGTGTGTGTGTGGGGTCTCTCTCTCACTCGTGTGTGGGTGTGGGTGTTTTCCTTATCTCCCCTTTTGTGGGTGGGTGGTGTCTTTTCTCCTCTGTGGGGGGGGTGTGTGTGTCCTCTCTTCTCTGTGTGTGTGTTTCTATCTCCGTGGGTGTGTTTTGGGTGTGTCTTTCTTTGTGTGTTTTGGTGGTGTGTTTCTCCTCTCTGTTGTGTGGGTTTTGGGGTGTGTCTCTCTCTTGTGTGTGTGTGCTTTGGGGTGTGTGGGGTGTTTTTATTCTGGGGTTGTGTGTGTTCTTTTGTGGGTGTGGGGGGTTTGTGTGTGTGTGTGTGGGGTGTGTGTTGTGTGTGTGTGGGGGTTTTTGTATGTGTGTGTGTTGTGGGATGTGGGGTTGGTGTATGGGGTGTGGGGGGTTTTATGTGTGTATTTTGTGGTGTGTGTTAGTGGTATGTGTGTGTGTGTGGGTATGGGATTCTCTTTGGGGTTTGGGGGGTGTTTATTCCCCTGTGTGTGGGTGGGTGTGTGTGTGTTCTTCTCTGTGGTGTGTGGGTGGTTCTTCTTTGGGGTTGTGTGGGGGGTGTTCCCCTTCTCTGTGTGTGGGGTGGGGTGTTCCTCTTTCTGGGTTGTTTGTTGTTTTTGTCTCTCTCTTTCTTGGTGTGTGTGTGTGTGTCTCTTTTCTTTTTTTTTTTTTGGGGTGTGTGTGTTGGGGTGTGTATCTCTCTCTCTTTGTGTGTGGGTTTTGTGTTTTGTGTTTTTTTTTTTTTTTTTTCCTTCTCTCTGTGGGGGGGGGTTTTGGGGGTGTGGGGTTGTGTGTGGGTTTTCCTTTCTCTCTTGTGTTGTGGGGGTGTTGTGTGGGTGGGGCTTTCTCTCTCTCTGTGTGTGTTTGGGTTTTTTGTGTGTGTTTTGTCTCTCTCTTCCCCTTTGTGTGTGTGGGGGGTTGTGTGTGGGGTCTCTTTCTCTCTTGTGTGTGTGTGTGGGTGTGTGGTTTGTCTTTTTCTCTCTCTGTGTGGTGGGTGTGTGTGTGTTTTGGTTTTGTCCCTTTTTCTCTTTTGTGTGTGGTGTGTTGGGGGGGGTTTTCTCTCTCTCTCTGGTGTGTGTGTGTGTGTGTGTGTGTTCTCTCTCTTTTCTTTTGTGTGTGTTTTGGGTTTTGGGGGGTGGGTTCGCCTTTCTGTGTTTTTGTGGGTGTGTGGGTGGTTGTGGCTTTTCTTCTTTTGGGTTTGTGGGGGTGGTTTTTTGTGTGTGTGTTTTTTTGTTTTCTCTCTAGGGGTGGTGTTTGTGTTGTGTGTTTTGTGTTTCCCCCTGGTGGTGTGTGGGGGGTTTTTGTGTGGGTCTTTCCCCTCTCTGGGTGTGTGTGTTGTGTGGGGTGGTGTCTTTCTTTATGGTGGTGTGTGGGTGGGGGTGTTGGGTTTCTTCTCTCTGTGTGTGGGTTGTGTGTGTGTGGTTTTATCTCTATCTTTTTTTTGTGTGTGTGGTGGGGTTTGTCTCTCTAATTTTCTGTGGGGGGTTGGTGTGGGGTTTTGTTTCTTCTCTTTTTGTGGGGGGTGTGTGTGTGGGGGGTTTTTTTTTGTGGTGTGTGTGTGGTGTGTGTTTTCTTTTCTTTTTCTCTTTGGTTTGTGTGTGGTTGTCTCTTTTCCTGTGTGTGTGTGTGTGTGGTGTGTGTTTTTCTTTCTCTTGTGTTGGGGTTTTGTTGTGGGCTTTTTTTCCCCTTTTGTGTGTGTGGGTGTGTGGTTTTGGGGCTCTCTCTCTTTAAAATTTTCTTTTGGGGTTTTGGTGGTGGGTGGGGTTTTCTTTCTTTGGTGTGGGGTTGGGGGGTGTGTGGTTTTCTTCTCTTTTGTGTGGTGGTGGGTGTGTTGTCCCCTTTTCTCTTTGTGTGTGTGGGTGTGTGTGTTTTCTTCTCTCTTTGGGGTGTGTGTGGGTATTTTTTTCTATTTTTGGGGGTGGTGTTTTTTTCTCTTTTTTGTGGGGTGGTTTATTTTTGTGGTTTTGTGTTTTTGTGTGGGGGGGTTTATTTATTGTGTGTGTGTTGTGTGTTCCTCATATCTGGTGTATGGTGTGTCTCTCTCTCCTCGCTCTCTTCTCTCTATCTCTCGCTCTCTCGCTCTCTCGCTCTCCGCTATCTCGCTCTCTCGCTCTCTCGCTCTCTCTCCTCTCTCTCTCTCTCCTTATTGCACATGCTGGGGAACGTCTCATTATTTCAGGTATAGAGGGAAGAGAAGGGAGAGGGGGAGGACAGGAAGAGAGGCAGGGTAAGAAGACAGGGGAAGGAGAGGGAGCGAGAGGGGAAGGAGATGAAGAGAGGGGTAGAGAGACAGATGGAGAGAGATAGATCCATACATTCAATCAATTTGATTGTTGCGTAGTACATTGGCACAGCCACAGCCTCGTGTCCTGCCTAGCTCCCAGCTATGTTAGTGCTAACCATATTAGCAGCCATAACGAGACAGCATAGAAATAACTGAAGGACGCCTACCTTTAGCAAGCGGCGTTAGATAAAACATTGCTATCTGCCAAATAGTCAAGCATTTAGTGAGAGTGTGAACCGACTGTGTCGGAGCGTGAGTGTGTACAGTCGCAATGAATAAGGTGTGTGGGTGTGCCGTAAGCCGGAGGAGATGTTCTCACTCAATTCCAGCAGTGTCTTTAATTGAGCACACACACACACACACAGCATTAATCCACCCTGGACCCCTGAGACAGACACATCCATGGTGCAGCTGGACAAACAGACAGGCCTGTGATGAACACATCAGCCTGAGAGCCTCTGATGGAGGGAAGGGATGTGGGAAAGGAGGGAGGGATGGAGGAGAGGAGGGGGGAGTGGCTGAGAGGGATAGAGTGGAGAAGATTAGCATTCTCAACAGCACTGGAGGAATCTGTCTTGGCTGCCAGGCTCCTCCCCCCCTCCCTCTCTCTCCCTCCATTTTTAATGGCTACCATGTCCAGGGCAGGCTGTGTCACTTGATAGCTCTGCTGCTCTGCAGCCCAGGCTGACATCAGTGTCACTGCACAGGGGGGACAAAGTGCCTTCCACTGAGACTCCTCCACAAACAGGGTAGGAGAGAATGTGTGTGTCTGATTGCAGTGTCTTGACCAAGTGATTCTTCACAGGTTTGCATTATGACGGACACACACACACACAGACACAGAGAGAGAGTGTGAGGACAGACGCTGGGAGACAGGAAGCAAGTACAGGGAGTGAACATTTAATGGAAAAAACAGACAGGAACAAAACACGGACAGCATCTGGACAGGGGAAACGAAACATCAATGCTGACACAGGGGTCAAACAGCGGAACAGACAGATATAGGGGAGGTCATTAACAAAGGGAAGGAGTCCAGGTTAGTCCAATGAGCACTGATGCACGTAACGATGGTGACAGGTGTGCGTAATGATGGGCAGCCTGGCGCTCGAGGGGGAGTGGAATCAGGCGTGACAGAGAGAAATGTCAAGTCCTGGGTTGTGTCCTGTTGGGCCTGTGACCTGGCTGGCCTGTGACCTGGCTGCCCTGTGACCTGGCTGGCCTGTGCAGATCTCTGTATGAGAACATGAATTTGGCCTACTAATGACTTAAGCCAATTATCCATGAAGCACCTCCCTGCTGCATCCAGGCAGCTAGCTGCTAATAGAACATTAAGTGACCAGCCTACACAGTACAGAGAGTACACACACTTCATCTCCACAATAGAACTATGGATGTTTTAATTACAGAAGCAGTGGAGTGGAGAATCAGAGGAACAGAACAGTAAATTACAATGTGGTGTGGATGGCACTTAACTGTCAGAGGAAAGAGTTTCTACTAAAGAGTATGACCACAAACTAGTCCTGAGTAGGCCAACTGTGTGACAACAAATAGTACTTTAGACATTTAACTTTTAATAGGTAAAGTTCAAAATAAAACTAGCTTGCATGGGGGTTGGGACAGGGCTGTGGTTAAAACAGTACATTTTTACTTGACACAAGAAGCACTTAAAAAGGGAAACTCAGCGAGATGGCGTTGCAACGAGCAGCACAGCAGACACTGAGATGGGCGTGATTCAAGAGTTTGCTCTCACACAGTCAAACAGAGTGCTGTATCTGCGCATGTGCACGGTTGCGCTTCACGCTGCTACAACCTGGTAGCTACGGACCAAAACAGCTGAGAAGTTTAGCCTTGCGCTTCAACGCTCTTAGTTGTTGCGGAAAATGAGCCGATATTGTGTTTACTTTCCTGCATGCAACGTCATCTCGCTGGAGTCTACCTTTAACTATTTGAGGTGGATCACAAAAGAAGATTGTTGGGGAACCAGTGAACCAGCTCTGAAAGGCAGAACAACACCTAGCGGAGCCACTGAAGCTATCCCAGATACAGGGTGTGTTTCAGTAAGGAAGAACACCTAGCGGAGCCACTGAAGCTATCCCAGATACAGGGTGTGTTTCAGTAAGGAAGAACACCTAGGGAGCCACTGAAGCTTAGCCCAGATACAGGGTGTGTTCGTAAGGAGAAACCTGCGGAGCCACTGAAGCTAGCCCAGATAAGGTTGTTCGTAAGGAAGAACACTAGCGGAGCCACTGAAGCTAGCCCAGATACAGGGTGTGTTTCAGAAGGAAGAACACCTAGCGGAGCCACTGAAGCTATCCCAGATACAGGGTGTGTTTCAGTAAGGAAGAACACCTAGCGGAGCCACTGAAGCTAGCCCAGATACAGGGTGTGTTTCAGTAAGGAAGAACACCTAGCGGAGCCACTGAAGCTAGCCCAGATACAGGGTGTGTTTCAGTAAGGAAGAACACCTAGCGGAGCCACTGAAGCTAGCCCAGATACAGGGTGTGTTTCAGTAAGGAAGAAACACCTAGCGGAGCCACTGAAGCTAGCCCAGATACAGGGTGTGTTTCAGTAAGGAAGAACACCTAGCGGAGCCACTGAAGCTAGCCCAGATACAGGGTGTGTTTCAGTAAGGAAGAACACCTAGCGGAGCCACTGAAGCTAGCCCAGATACAGGGTGTGTTTCAGTAAGGAAGAACACCTAGCGGAGCCACTGAAGCTAGCCCAGATACAGGGTGTGTTTCAGTAAGGAATCATGTGATCTCGGTGAGGCGAGCAGAGCACACCCCTGGACAGTTCTGTTATAGGAGAGGGTATGGGAAGATGTATTGTGGTGTGAGGGCGAGTGCGTGTCTCACCGTGGCCTGGGTAGAGCTCTCCGTCAGGTCCCAGAGCAGAGCGTGGTTATCAGCCAGAGAGATCACACGCTTCCCATCTCCCATGGGCTCCCACAGGACACTGCAGCAGAGCGAGACAGAGAGAGAGAGACCGAGAAAGAGAGAGAGGGGGGGAAGAGTTAGTTCACAGGACACACTTGCATGAATACACACTTCAGTGAGAAAAAAACACAAACACTCTTATATACACCACAGTATGATGCACACACAAGCGCTCTCTCACTCACTCACACACACACACACGACTTGGCCTGCAAAGGCTACAGCTACTGTAACCAAAGTTTATGACCATGATTTGACAAGTGTGTAGTCAAATGACCACTATGCAGTATTTACTGCATACGACACACACACAGTAGATAAAGAGCCCCTGCATGTACCGGCTATAGACTTGCTATAGACGGACTAGTCCTTAGTTCTAGTGGTGATAAATGAGACTGGTCCATCTCCTCAATCATTCATCAGGGCGGAGCAACACAACATAAAGCCTCCACTGTGGTGTGTGTGTGTGGGAGGGATAAAGGGATGGAAGAGGAGGGAGGGACAAGTTTAGTCTTCCTCAGGATTTCATCCAACTCTGTAATTTGCTTCCATCTCTTGTGAGGGGATGGGGGAGAGAGGGATAGAGGGAAAACGAGAGAGAAGAGTAGAAGAGTTTATGGAGGTTGTAAATCCATGGATGATGAGGACAGTTTTTACTGCCCTACCAAGGTGCTAGGAGTCACAGGCCTGGGACACAAATACACGCAGGCACACATCAGCCAAGGAGCTTTCTGTCTCTCTCTTTCTCACCCTCTTTCTCTCATTCATTTATTCTATAAAAACAGCTCCAATCTGATGTCAATATATTCACCACACACAGATTTATAAAAGCAGCCCCCCAACTGTATCAATTAGCCTAATTTATAAAAGAGAAAGAAATAAAGAATTGAGATAGAGAGGGACAAAAAAGAGAGAGAGAGAGAGATACATCCTCTTCTCCTTTATGGCACCAGTCAGCCTCTCTTATTAAAGAATATAAGTTATGTGCATTTGACCTTGAGCTCCGCGGCAGCATGGCATCCTGGTAGGGAGGGAATATGTAAATACATGGAGGACTGCTGGGGAGGGGAGTTTAAAGCTCAGACAGTATGGGACAAGATGCCTGCTTTCTTCCTCCTCATCAGATTGTTTCCTTGTCTGCTTTGCATTCAGATGAGTTTAATTTGATAGCAACTTATGCACATGCCGCTCATGGTATTAAGGGGGAAATCAGATTGGGCTGCTTTGGGGAATAGAGACACACAGAGAAATCAGTTTGGCTTGGCTACGGAGTTACAGTGAGGGATCAGTAGCATAGATCTATAAGTCCAAGGTAAGGCCAAGAGAGAGGATGAGAGGAGAGAGAGAGAGAGAGAGAGAGAGAGAGAGAGGAGGAAGAGACGATGAGAGAGGAGAGAGAGAGTGGAGAGAGAGAGAGGAGAGAGAGAGAGGAGAGGAGAGAGAGAGAGAGAGAGAGAGAGAGAGAGAGAGAGAGAGAGAGAGAGAAACAGGGATAGTAGAAGAGGGAGAAAGGAACTAAGAAAAAGAGGACAGAGGGGGAATGAACAATGAACAATTTAAAACGTGTGTGTGTGTCAGTATGTCTGTGTGTGTGTCTGTGTGTGTGTGTGTTGTGTGTCTGTGTGTGTGTGTAGAGCCAGGATTAAAATCAGCCATACTGAGTTAATGTGTCCAATTGAAGGTGTGTTTGAAGACGGGTCTCCACGGCCCCTCACATTACTGACAGTATTGACTATCGGGCTGTCTGGACTCCCATTGGGCTAACATTGATTTCTATCAGTCCCCCACCTCCAACAACACACAGGCATACACACACCCCTGTACGCATAGGCTACACACTCATAGACAGAGGCTCATATGCACACACACACACACAAAACAAACTATAACCCTCTCCTGTCACACCACAGCGTAGAAAATAAAACAGTGTCCTTGTTGAGCTTCATGATTCCTCAAGGTGCTCAGCCAGGCCCTGATTGGTCCTAATCGCTCCATGGGAATCAATTCCTGCGCCTGGTGCTGCTTCAAATCGAAATGAGGTGCTTGGCTCACCAAAGCAGGGGAGAGAAATATAAATATATTTTTGTTTGTTTTTGGGTCTGTTTTTGTCAATCCAGGCAAGCTTCACAACATGACACTAGCCCAAATGTTTGTCCACACAGACTAAGGGGGGATTTGGTGGCTGAATATAAGAGACGTGGTGGATGATGGTGGGACAAAGGAACAGCCATACAGGCATAAAGGACGTACTGACAGACAGACACACACTCTCTCACATACTCCTTTTCTCACACTCTAACAGACTCTCACTCAAACAAGCACGTACACACACACACACTCCCCTGCTGATTGCTGTGCTCCTGCCAGCGTAGTCAGAGCGAGCGGGGGTAGCAGCCTGAAAGAGATGGAAGAGGTGGGCACCAAACCAAAGCCATCCATTTCTCAGAGCCAATACAACAAAGCAAAGGATACAAGCCTCACATCACAAACAGAACACAGACACAGATAGACACAGATACAGACACAGATACAGACACAGATACAGACATAGATACAGACACAGATACAGACACAGACACATACATAGAAACAGATACAGATACAGAGAGATAGACACAGATACAGATACAGATACAGACACAGATATAGAAACAGATAGAAACAGATATAGAAACAGATACAGATACAGACAGACACAGATATAGAAACAGATACAGATACAGACACAGACACAGATATAGAAACAGACACAGACACAGACACAGATATAGAAACAGATACAGATACAGAGAGATAGACACAGATACAGACACAGATACAGACACAGATACAGATACAGACACAGATATAGAACAGATACAGATACAGATATAGAAACAGATACAGACACAGATATAGAAACAGATACAGATACAGATATAGAAACAGATACAGACACAGATATAGAAACAGATAGAGAACAGATACAGACACAGATATAGAAACAGATACAGACATAGATACAGACATAGAAACAGATAGAGATACAGACACAGATATAGAAACAGATACAGATACAGATATAGAAACAGATACAGACACAGATATAGAACAGATACAGACACAGACATAGAAACAGATAGAGATACAGATACAGATATAGATATAGAAACAGATACAGATACAGATATAGAAACAGATACAGATACAGATATAGAAACAGATACAGACACAGATATAGAAACAGATACAGATATAGATATAGAAACAGATACAGATATAGATATAGAAACAGATACATGCCATTCAGAATGTTGCAGCTCTGGAGGAGTCAGAGGGGCAGACACCAGAACCATACATCTCCACCTCAGAGCCACACCTCACCCACCCTTGGAGCTTCACTAACAGAAGGCTATTACACACACGCACATAGTAAATTGCACTCTCTAAAATAAGAAAATACTGCTCAGGGAAGACTCAAAATGGAAAAGGGAATTTAATTTGGAATGCTAAAATGCACTCTTTCTTCCAAAGGGATGAGGCAGCTACTGAAGTCTAAAAAGGGATGAGCATTGACTTTATTTTCCTGCACAATAAATGATGGTGAATGTAGTGTATGCAACTATAAGAAAAAGGCCTGAGCAGTGGCTGAGCCCTGGGATACATAGGTCAGTCAATACCTTGCACAGCACAGCACAGCATACCCAGCAAACAGGGAACATTCCCAGAACATTAACGAAGATTCCCATTATGTTCTAGTTAGGTTTCCTAAAGTTCTCTTTAGGTTTCCAGGTAATTTAATAACACAATGTACCAGTAACGTTTTCCCTGCAAACCAAAATTGGTTCTGTGAAAGTTCCCAGAACATTTGTTCGATCGCAGCAAAATAACTCTCCACTCATGGTTATGATTTTAGAATGTTTGTATAAAACATTTGCCTGTTCCTATAAGACATTTAATCTGTTCTTTAAAAGGTTCCCAGAATATTTCATTAGGTTGTGGGAACAGTCTGGTGGGAACATTGTGGGGATATCACAAAATATATGTTATCAAAACACAAAAACTGTCCAGTTGTGTGGATTATTCTACAATGTTTATTTTAGGGTGCAAAAAACATTTACCTGATGTTACAAGAATGTTCCCAGAACACATTTTGTCTGTTTTTTAAAGGTTTCCAGAATGTTTCCTTAGGTTATGGTAACATTGTGGGGACATGACTAGAGATATGTTCCCAAAACACAAAATATGCTCAGTTGTGATGACATTCATACAATGTTTAAGTTAGGCTGCACAGGAAATTGCACAGGACATTTCCTTAATGTTGTAAGAATGAAATAAGTCTGTTTTTATGAAGGTCATAGCATATTTGTTTTAGGTTTAACATAATATTCCATTGATGTTTACGCAATATACATTTGACCTCATCTTGGAAGTCCTCAGAACATTTCAAGAACATTTATAAAATGTTATATATAAGCTTGACCTAATATTACCACAACACTCTCAGCATGCAAATGAAAGCTTAAGAAAGCATACTGGAATACATCCCCATTATGTGTCTCTCTAGATTTAATGGCAATTCTCATTTGACGATTGTATTGTAGGTGATACAGAGACACAAGGCATTTTAATTTCATTCATAGGACATTTGAACAGCATTTAATCATACAAAATACAACCATATTTTTTACACTTCATATGTTGACAATCTGAACATGTGGGGTTTGAACCTGCAATGTTTGGTTTCCAAGCCAGGTCTTTTATCCACCAGGGAAGCTCTCTTACATTTGTTTATTTTTCAGTATAGCCCTGGCAGTATGGTCAATCAGGAATTCCATGCTTTTTAGCCTTCTTAGACATGGCTAACCGAGGGAAATACTGGCAACTGGGTTATTCACCATCACTTCACCCACCCATGCTGCTTACTTCTTTCTTCATCACGTGTTAAATGTCTTATGAAATGTGATTTAGAAATTGAGAAAAGGTCAAATTGTTTTCTTATTTAGTTTGAAGGTTCTTAGTTTGAAGGTTCTGAGAAGCATATGAATACACAACAATACAAGTTATTTAAAGGAAGCCCTATCCAACTAAAATCACATTTTATACGACTTTCAACACATGTGATGAAGGGAATGTCCTGTGCAACCAAACTTAAACATTGTATGAATGTCATCAGAACTGAGCATATTTTGTGTTTTGGGAACCAATCAAATCAAATGTTATTTATAAAGCCCTTTTTACATCAGCAGATATCACAAAGTGCTATACAGAAACCCAGTCTAAAACCCAAACAGCAAGCAATGCAGATGTAGAAACACAGTGGCTAGGAAAAACTCCCAAGAAAGGAAGAAACCTAGAGAGGAACCAGGATCTGAGGGGTGGCCAGTCCCCTTCTGGCTGTGCAGGGTGGAGATTATAACAGTACAAGGCCAGATTTTTCTCCAAGATGTTCAAACGTTCATAGATGACCAGCAGGGTCAAATAATAATCACAGTGGTTGTAGAGGTTGCAACAGGTCAGTACATCAGGAGTAAATGTCACTTGGCTTTTCATAGCCGGGCATTTAGAGGAACCTAGCTCTTGTTATGTACCCACACTGTTCCCACAATCTAATTACATGTTCTGGGAACTTTAAAATAATTCAGAAAGGCTGTTCTGTCAACATTCTTGCAACATCAAAGCAACACTTGGTGCACCCTGATACAAACATTATCTAAATGTCAGCACAACTGGACAGTTGTTTTGTTTTGGGAACATATCCCTTGTCATGTCCCCACAACCTAATTAAACATTCTAGGAATCTTTAAAGAACAGATTAAATGTGTTCTAGGAACGTTCTTGCAACATCAGGCAAATGTTTTATACAAACATTCTATAATCACCTCGACTGGACAGTTTTTGTATTATGAGACCATTTGCCACAACCTAACAAATGTTCTGGGAACTTTCACAGAAACAATTTTGGCTTGCTGGATAGTATAGTAAAGTAAAGTATAGACCAGGATGCCCTTCTGTATGGGAGGGAGAGAGAGAGACGGGGCAAGTGACAGAGGGTGATAAAGAGATGAAGAGGGAGAATGAGAGATAGAAAGAGAGAGATAAAGAGAGAGGAAGAGAAGCAGTATAGTGGTGTAAATGGTGAAAAGCAGGGCAATCGATTTTTGAAAAACAAACAGATAGTCAAACGGAGAAAGATAGAGAGAGAGAAGGACAGGAGAGGAGATAGAGGAACATAGAACGAGGGGAAATAGAGGGGAAAATAACACAAAGGTGAAAAGAGCAGAGAAAATAATTGAAACAGGGGGTTGTGGAAACCCTATAGTTTGAGGGTTGAATTGATATGACTGTTGTGTTGTACACAGTATTGTAGCTTTAGGTTACAGTCTGAGAGAAACCTACCAGGAGGCATTGCCATGGGCGCTGTTGTCAAGGTGACAGAGGAGTTCCAGGTTCTGGGGGTTGTGGGAGTTGTGGGGGTCATCTGGGGACTCATGGCTCCCTGACTCCCACTCTGGGGGCATCCTCCAAACAGCCCCACACGTCACCACACGACTCTCACTGGCTGGAGGGGCCAGGAGAAACAGGCAGAGTTACACACCAGAAGAGGGTGGGGCAACTGGGAACTCACTCAGGACATGGGTGTGAATAAAAGACAGCACATACAGGGTTCCAGCAGGACCAGGTCTATAGGACCCCCTTAGGGACCTGTTTTAAGGGTCTCACAAACCTGGTACAGCAAAATCACTGTAGGTGATGGCTTGAAATCAAATCCCTTTCTTGAGTGTCCTGAAATGTACAGCGAGCTGATAGTGAGTAGATAGTTAGAGCAAGTCAAGTGACAGAAAAATAAAAATTATTTATAAAGATAAGTTCCATGTGTGACATGCATTTGTGTCTACAGTGGGATGGTCTGGTCTCTTGGTTCTAACCCCTTCCAACAGCAGCAGCTGTCATCATGTGAGCTGAAGTATGCAGGGCCCAGCTGACAAGAGAGGCAGAGAGAGGGAAGAAGAATGAGAAAGAGAGCGAGAGAGAGAGAGGAGATATAAAGAAAGAGAGCGAGACAGAAACAGAGACAGAATGAGAGACAGAGTGAGAGACTAACTGTGGGCCTCTCCCTCTGGGGTCGGCTGCCCCTAAAGGCCTAACCTGGCCTTCACGCCTCCCTGCTCTCCCAGTCTCTCACTCTGTCATGGCCGTCTATCCCTGTGAAGCTATGCCACATTCACACCCCCACCACACCACCATCCCCACCACACCACCATCCCCACCACAACACCATCCCCACAACACTACTATCACGAGAGAGACAGCCTATCTCCCCAGATCAGACAGTGGATAGGAAGGAATTTGCCTCAGCAGCACCAGTAGAGAGAGAGACTGTGGGTAAAGTGAGGGCATATGATCTTCACTTCTTTTTGACTGGGGCTGCTCCATTAGATTGGATGTCATGGTATTTACATTTCTCTTTTGAACTGCACTCTGACATATCGTGTATCTCATCCCTCCGCCACAATAGGGCTGGCGCAAAGAGAGGAGCGTGAGAGTGCCGTGGCCTTGTTTTCAATGCCTCTCTCCCCGTTTCTCTCTTCACAACTACAGTAGCCTACATCCAGAGCTGATTCATACTGTCACTAACCCCACCAAGGCCAAAGGCATCCATCTAATAAACTCAGAAATGTAATTACTTTTTTCCCCCCACTCTTTCTCGTCCAAATCGTTATATTATATTAAAATTGTCTCTTCATGTTTGTTTACATTTGTAATTTCTCGAGGCAACTGTTGGCAGAAGTGTGAGAGAAATGTGACGTGTTACTTTAGCATAATTGCTAGCGTGAAATGGCAGGGTGGGAGCATGGTGAGTCTAGGATTGTATGTGGTGTGAGTGGTCAGGGGTAGACGTGGCTGGCTAACAGGGTTCTCACTGCCTTGCCTAGATGGTTACCTTAAATAACATCATTTCAGTTCAAGACAGAATGCAGTTGCTATACCTTATGGGGCCATGAGATTTTCCTGAACACACGACTTGACAAGGAAAAACGCTGGCCCCTAGTTGTGAGAGAGAGACTAGTAAAATAAAGACAGGATCTAGAGACCGAAAAAGGAGAGATAAAAAGCAAGAGAGGCAGACAGAGAGAGAGGAGAAGAAAAGAAAGACGCGAGGGGAGCGCCGGCGGGAGCCTCACTTTTGTTGTAGCAGGTCGTCAGCACGGCTTTATCTGCAGGACTGGCACTGATGTGCCATATCTCCCCTGCCTGGTGCTGCAGGACGCTCTTACTAATGATGTTATTCTCATCATCAAAGTCAATGATGTGGATCTGTGGAAAGGAGAGAGGAAGAGAGGCGGGAGGAGAGAGAGAGAGTGAGGGAGGGAGAGAGGAGAGCGAGAGAGGGGAGAGCAGTGAGGATGAGGTTGTAGTGAGAACAGACAGAGGAGCGCCTCCTCCCCTCATCTTTCACCAGTCACCCTAACCCTCAGCAGTTCAAAGCACCCCTCACACAAAAAGGTTCCGTCTTTAATATGACAGTAAACGCAATCTTAAATGCAGACATCACTTTAGATTTATTAACTTCACACACCCAATGCGTTTTTTTTGTCTTGAGATCCCCTGAAAAGCAGCGATTAAACACTCCTTCAGAACTTGGGTCAGATTCAGAGGAGTTACAGAGAGCGTTACATGTCTTAGACGGCAGAAAGAAAGGTCCAATAGAGGAAAATCGATCAAATCTAGTTTGCACCCTTCACAGCATAATGATAAGTAATGTGGAACACCAGAGCAGGCAGGGGTCACTCTCTGTGAAATCAGTAAAACATGAAAACAGTAGTGATGTTATTATTTTCTGTTATTTTATTGGGTTACTATTTCCTTCTTTTATTTATACTGAACAAAAATATAAATGCAACATGTAAAGTGTTGATGGCATGTCTTATGAGCTGAAATAAAAGATCACAGAAATGTTCCATACGCACAAAAAGCTTATTTCTCTCAAATGTTGTGCACACATGTGTTAACATCCCCGTTAGTGAGCATATCTCCTTTGCCAAGATAATCCATCCACCTGGCAGGTGTGGCATATCAAGAAGCTGATTAAACAGCATGATCATTACACAGGTGCACCTTGTACTGGGGACACTAAAAGGCCACTCTAAAATGTGCAGTTTTGTCACACACCACAATGCCACAGATGTCTCAAGTTTTGAGGGAGCGTGCAATTGGCATGCTGACTGCAGGAATGTCCACCAGAGCTGTTGCCAGAGAATTTAATGTTATTTCTCTACCATAAGCTGCCTACAACATTGTTTTAGAGAATTTGGCAGTACGTCCAACCGGCCTCAAAACCGCAGACCACGCGTAACCACGCCAGTCCAGGACCTCCACATCCGGCTTCTTCACCTGCGGGATTGTCTGAGACCAGCCACCTGGACAGTTGATGAAACTGTGGGTTTGCACAACCGAAGAATCTCTGCACAAAGGGTCTTGACCTGAATGCAGTTCGGCGTCGTAACCGACTTCAGTAGCCAAATCCTCACCTTCGATGGCCACTGGCACACTGGAAGTGGGCTCTTCACAGATGAATCCCGGTTTCAACTGTACCCGACAGATGGCAGTATGGCGTCGTGTGGACGAGCGTTTGGCTGATGTCAACGTTGTGAACAGAGAGCCCCATGGTGGCAGTGGGGTTATGGTATGGGCAGGCATACGCTACAAACAACGAACACAATGGCATTTTATTGATGGCAATTTCATTGCACAGAGATACCGTGACGAGATCCTGAGTCCCATTGTCGTGCCATTCATTTGCCGCCATCACCTCATGTTTCAGCATGATAATGCATGGCCCCATGTCGCAAGGATCTGTACACAATTCCTTGGAAGCTGAAAATGTCCCAGTTATTCCATGGTCTGCATACTCACCACACGTCACCCATTGAGGATGTTTGGGATGCTCTGGATCGACATTGTGTTCCAGTTCGCGCCAATATCCAGCAACTTCGCACAGCCATTGAAGAGGAGTGTGACAACATTCCACAGGCCACAATCAGCAGCCTGATCAACTCTACGTAAAGGAGATGTGTTGCGCTGCATGAGGCAAATGGATACTAACTGGTTTTCTGATCCACACCCCTACCTTTTTTAAAAAGGTATCTGTGACCAACAGATGCATATCTGTACTCCCAGTCATGTGAAATCCATAGATTAGGGCCTAATGAATTCATTTAAATTGGCTGTTTTCCTTATATGAACAGTAACTCAGTAAAATCTGTTGCGTGTTGCGTTTATATTTTTGTTATGTAGCAAATACGTCTCTTACTTTTTAACTCTGCATTGTTTGGAATGGGCTCCTAAGTAAGCATTTCAAGGTCAAGTTTACACCTGTTGTATTTGGTGCATGTGACCAATACAATTTGATGGTCATGTGGCATCCTTTTTCTCCAAAGTAGGCCTTTTAGTGTGACAGGCTACAAGGACAGTTTAAATCACGTGTCAAACTCATTCTATGGAGGGCTGAGTGTCTGCAGGTTTTCGCTCCACTCTTGTACTTGATTGATGAATTATTGTCATTAATTAGTAAGGAACTTCCCTCACCTGTTTGTCTAGGTCTTCATTTAAAGGAAACACCATAAACCCGCAGACACTCTGCCCTCCGTGGAATGAGTTTGACACCCCTGGTTTAAAGCATTGAAACCCAGATATGGTAGATATTGGACAATGGTTGAGAGGTGTTGTGGAGCCAAAGCTTCCTGTTTAATTGATTGCAGTTTGTCTAACAACCATGAAGTTATCTTGCTATCATCATCAAGGTCAGCAGACCAAAGAGTTGGCACTACAATAGCAAACTTTGGTCTAATATTTGCAAGCAAGCAGTGTGCGGGACGTTGGAACTTCTCATGATTTGACTTAGGCCTATTTGAATTGACCATTATGGAAATCTATTTTATAGATATTTGACTTAGGTGGTAAAGCAGCGACAATCAAGAGGTTTGATGTGGTTAATAATACCCGTCATTCTAATAAGGCTGAGTCTCACTGCACCGTGGGGGCCATTAATCTGGTTGCACTGGACAATAACTCCAGGCACTCCTCTACCCTGTTCACTTTTTACAGGCTGGGAGGAGAGGAGCAGAGCATCGGAGCAGCAGAATACAGCGTCCTTCAGCTGCCTCAAAGTCACACATGCTGCCATTAACCTTGGGCTGGACCACATCGAGCAAAGATTATTACGCAAAGTTATACTTTTATGGAGGGGAGACATACAAATAAATTCCGGTGCTGGTGGGATAGGGTCATTTGAGGGAAGAGGAGGACCGGTAATAGGGCCCCTGAATGAACCCAGGTTGGAGGAGAAGTCCCATGGGTGATTTATCCTGCGTTATTCCCCAGCCGGAGCCCGCAGAGTGACTTATTACATTTTACATTTTAGTCATTTAGCAGACGCTCTTATCCAGAGCGACTTACAGTTAGTGAGTGCATACATTTTTCATACTGGCCCCCCGTGGGAATCGAACCCACAACCCTGGCGTTGCAAGCGCCATGCTCTACCAACTGAGCTACAGGAGGCCTTATCCCTCCATCCCTCTCTCAGACCCATTGGGCTTCCTTCCCAGCCCGTTGTATTTATGTTGCAGAAAAAGAAGAGGGGATGAAAAGGAGCCTCCACTTTTGGGCCTTTAGTTAAAGCTCTTTAGTGGTGCGGATGACAGTAAGCGGGACAGGGGAGTAGGGAGCTGGCAGAAGTGGCAGGGCTGAGATGCTTTAATGCCACACACACTGGAGGAGCCCCAACGATCTGCCATTCATATTACCCTGCCCTCTCAGGGCTGGAGTGGCACTTAAGGTGAGAGGAAGGGAGGGTATAAATTAGATTCCTGAAGCCAACATTAGAGAGACTGAAAGGATAAGAAGCCAGGAGGCTTAGTGACACGTCCAAGCTACTGGATAAGGGCCTGAGGCCAGAGACAATCAGGTGGGGTCTCTATGTGACCAATGCCTGGGGGTGGGACTGAAGCCATCTTCAAGGAAGAGTCCACTTTCTGGAACAGCCAATAATCATAAGTGAAATAGCATTGTGATAATGATGGGATGAAATTATTGCTCCCTTTGTTGTGACTGCAGTGCATTCAGAAATGCTGGTACAAAACACCCAAAATTCTGTTTTTCAATTCTCAACATCACCTTTCAGTGCTTGGTGCAGGCATCACAGCAGTACGATAATTATAAGTATTTTCCTCTCAAAAACATGACGTGGGTGAGTCAAACATAAGCACTGTCTGCCTGTCCAACCACAGGGATAGGTTCAGAATGGGCTCCAGCAACATATTTTAACACCCATAGACTTGTAAACAGCCAAAGCCAGAATAAAAAAAAAGCATAGACCATTTTCTCACCAAAGGATGCCAAAACCATTTCAACACAGACATCAGTCTCTCCTCTCTCCCTCCCTGAAATCACTAATTATCCCCCCCACCTCCCACACCGTTTATGGCCAACTGTTTCTGTTCTGGTCTGCACGATGACCTAGGAAAGACACACACACACATCAGGATGGGTTGGAGTCAGCCCAATTACCAGTGCCAGAGGCCAAGGCTAAGCCTGTCCTCACAGCACTACCTGGTCCACACAGGCCCATTTGGCTAGCATGATCCTAGGCTTGTTTACTAGGCCTACAATTCTCAAAGGCACACGGCTGCTGGACAAGGCTTGAGGAAACCAACTTAACTGAAAGTACCACTAAATAAACAGAGCGTGGCATGGACAGTCATGGCACAGGCAATAAGATGTTGCATTACAACCCAGTCTTGATGCAACCCAGGAGGAACTAGTTCTGAGGTATCAGAGGGTCCCAAGTCCCATCTCAACACTTGGGCCAATCTTGGCTGGAATACCGCATTGGGAATATTAGAGGCCTCGATGGGCTGAAACAGGCAGCCAAAGAGCTAGATCAGAGAAATGATCAAGTGATGTTGTTTCCATCAAAAATGTATAGTACGTTTTTAGTACAACTTTAGATTACATCCAAAAGTGGGCCCCACGTTAGAAGAACAAACACATGACTTTGTACAATACCCTTCCTAGATGCTCTTCCAATGCATAGACTATATACAGCCCTAAGGTGTACTACTCTTGGTAAGTGTAGTCGTTTGACTCACCTGATTGTCAAATTTGAGGGACTGGGTGCCCACAAGAAAGCGAATGGCATCTGATTCAGCTGTCTGGGAAGTAAGTGCACGAGCCTGCAAAACAAGATACAGTTGGTACATTGTAACACTGTAACTAATGTTGACTATACCCATGTATGTATGTATATGCTAATACAGGGCTTTACGTGACGAATGTATCGCTCAAGCATGATGAAATTGCAAACCAACAATGTTGACGTACATTGAAGAGAGCTCAGATGAATATTTGTCCACATTGGAGTTGCATTGCTAGGACGAGGTTGCCTCAGTATCTGTGCATTAGAGATGTCGAAAAGTCATACTCCTCGTCGACATCTCTAACGCACAGATACTGGGGCAGGACGAGGTTGTCTGACATAGCTATACAGTATCCAACTAACGTTAATGCATGCATATCTCCGACGTGGAACTGTACCTGAAATTCGAGGCCGTATATCACAGGTGCATCGTCCTCCATGTCCCACGTATGTTGCAAGCTTATGATTATTGATAGAAAGCGTTACGTTTAATGTGAGATTTCACAAATAAGCTGCTTGCACTATTTATCCATCACCTCGCTGGATGTTATTATAATTCCGCAAACGTTAAAATAAATACTTACGTAGCGTACATTGAATGTCCGTAAAAATATCTGGACAAAGCAGATGTTTATGGTTTAAAATGCGTAAAATATTCAAGAATACCGATTCGACAGATACGTAGGAAGTGTGATTCCTATTGGTCACCGTACATTTCGTTTCCTGGAAGATTCACGCAGGCGCACTATTGCCGTAGCGTCATCATTCCAAAGCAAAGGTAAGCTAAAGCGCCTTGTTTTTGTTGACATTGGTTTACAGCTTCATAGGGGAGGCTGATGCATCGCTACATGTGATTTCTGTAAGAAAGTGTTTTGTATGAATATATTTATAAAAGTAGATATGTCCTTTTTTTGCAATTTGAAGCACCTGTACCTAACGTTAGCGAGCTGAGCATCATTACGCAAAAGGCACAACAATCTAACGTTGCTAGCCATAGAAATTGAATTAATCATTTTATTTATATGCTTCTAAGCCCGTATGAGACATTTCATTGTAATGAACATGGCAAAGTACTTCCAATAAATCTTATTTTTAGTGAACCTGATTTATGATTCCTCCATACTATTATTCTCAGGGAAAATATGGATAGCAACGAGACTCCTGCCCAGAGGCCAGTCACCCTGGACATCACAGGGGCAGTGGAGGTTGAACCCAGCCTGAGTGAAGACCTTATCCCTCCAGAGCCAGCCTCCACCCTCTCGCCCTCCTCTGATGTCCTGTTCCAGGAGGACAGCATTGACCTGGGGGGGCGAGTCCTTCATTACTCCCCAGGAGGACAGCCACAGCACATCCTCAGAGAGCCTGATGGACAAGCTCAACTACCAGATGATGGAGAGTGTCGTGGTCTCTGACTCCCCCAACAACAGTGAGGAGGACGACGTGGATCCCATGGACAACCTGCTGGAGCAGTTTGAGGAGAGAGAGGAGGAGCCAGCAGCAGCAGTTGTTAAAAAGACCTCAGTGGAGAAAGAGAAGGAGGTGGAGGTGAAGGAGGAGAAAGTGGATGATCTGATCGGAGAAGACACTACTGAGAACAAGATAGAGGCTGCGATGATACAGACAAGTCCAGTAGCCTCTAGCCCTGAGGAACCAGTGGAGGATGTGAAACCGGAACTAACCACTGAAGAGCAGGACGTTGTCGCCGTCACCATCTCCGCTGTAACCCCAGAGGACAGCACCCACAGCCTAGGCACCCCTAAACATGAGGCAGCAGCCCTGGAGGCCAGCAGCAAAGGGACCACACCCAAGAACGAGCCCATCCCTGTGTGCACCATCTTCAGCCAGCCCAAAGCCCAGGCCCTGGTGCCAGATGGCTTCCAGCCCACCCTCATTAAATCACCCAGCTTCAGTAGTGGCAGCGGCAGGGGGAGCACAGAGATTACCCCCAGTAAACTGGCTCCCCTGGTCTGCAAGTCCCAGCCTCAGCAAGTTATTTTCTGACCGCGGCCATGTCAACCCGGCTACTGACTTCTTTGACTCCTTCACCACCTCCTCCTCCTTCATCTCTGTCAGCAACCCTAACGCAGAGTCCCCAAAGTCAGCCGCCCCACCCGAACACCAGCTCTCTGGGTACACTCTGTCCACCTTTGGCCTACCCAGACTGAAGCAACCCCCATGCCTCTTCAACAGGCTGCAGCAGAGCCAGCCCCGGCCCCTCCTCAGCCCTTCACCCAGCTGCAGACAGTGGTCTTAGGGGGAGACGACCCGTTTGCCAAGGCTCTGAACATGAGTGAAGCTGATAAGAGGTACGACGCATGGCTGCCCTCTGAGGAGACCAGGAAGGTGCTGATCTCCGTGGCAACTCAGCTGGACAGCCAGGTGTTTGTGGAGAGGGAGTGGCTGGCCAGGCCCGGACATGGAGTGGCTGGCCAGGCCCGGCAGGTGGGTTAGCTTGCCATTAATGCCATTAGCCCATAGAGCTGGGTTTCCAGTTCGATATCATTCGGAAATCTGCTTTCAACAGCTGTGTCTAGTCTTGTGTACGATGAATGCTTTTGAAGTGGATCATTTGCTTATTTATAGACCTAGTCCTCTAAAAATGTTGCGACCTACTCGCATACCTGTGTGTGTGTGTTTCAGGGTGATGCTGTGAAGGACCTGATTGTGCGTCTCATGGGGGAGCAGGCAGCTATGAAGAGACAGGTCCTTACAGCCAACTCTGTAGAACAATCCTTCCTGGGCCTCAAAAACTCATTGTGAGTCACTGTGTGTGCATGTTAATGTGTTTGTGCAAACAGGTATTTTATACATCTGTATGTAGTGCCTTGTTAGACACAACTTATTTTCATGACGGCTTGTCTTACTCATGGAATTCCATGGTAACAGATTGCCCTTATACCTCTTTCACCTTTTAGAACACTGCACTTCTACTTATTCAGTGGTAGAAGACCATGTAAATGGCTATGTTTGCTGAATTTGGTTAGTGTGCATGCAGCAGATAGATACCCTTGACATTCTGTGATGACTACCTAGAGTATGCCTCACCTTCCTCATAGAATGGTGTTGTTAATAGCACAGCTCCATAAAATACCCTATAATTTCTCTGGCTCACCTGTCTCCCCTACCCCCCCATAAAGCATGAAAATTAGTCTACATAACGACCTCTCCTCCTCCATCACCCTATCCTCCTCCATCTTAGCCGTTGACCTGCAAACTACCCTGACCTGCACTTGGTATTTAAAACTTATGCACCATAGCAGCCGGCAGAGAGATGGAGGGTGAGGGAGAGAGAATAGAAGGGAGGGAGGAGATCCTCCAGGCTCTGAGTTCTCTCCTGCTGTGCCGATGTATAATGCATGGGAGCTGTGTGCATATTTAAAGGCCTTCTGGACTCTGCTCACACAAACACACACACATCTGGTGCTGGACTGCAGTCTGCCAGGACACACACATACACCCTCTCACAGAGTAGACCACTTGACCGAAGGCTGAAAATACCACCTGGTGTGTGTGCGTCACCGACCCTACCGATGCACACCAGCTAGCGTGGGCGGCTCCCCGGTGTAATGAGGGAGTGAAGGAGGGAAATAAAAAGAGAGGGAGAGAGAGAGAGAGAGTGAGTCAGGCAGGTCTGTTGAAATGTCAGTGGGCTTTGCTCCTCCACTGTGGCCCTCACAGCTCCAGACCGACTCAGCCAGTCAACCTTACACTGATCAATAGCTGTGATTGATTGCACCGAATTTGAGACACCTGGGTGGTCTCTTTCTCGATTCGCTCGGTGAATGTTGGCAAGGTGTGCGTGTGTGTGCGTGCGCGTGTGTCTGGTTGTACAGAGCTGTGTGTACCCTGGGGTTGTAGTGACTAGTGAGATGTGTATGTACTCCCCCCTCCCCCCCTGATTCTTGGGGCTTCTGGGAGCTGGCAGTGACTCATGCTGCAGTGGCAGAGTGTGACTGCACCCACTGCCTCTGCCTCCACACTCCTTCTGAGAACGCACAGACGCTGGCTCACACAGAGGGAGGAGCACAGAGATGAGGGAGGGGAAGAAGAAAGAGGAAAGATATAGGGAGGATGAGAGAAAAGGGAGGGAGGAAGAGTTATTAGGCAGGGAAAGAAGAAAGATGAGGGAGGGGAAGCGAGGGGGAAAAAAGGAGGAAGCAACCTCTGTGGTAAGAGTGAGGCTTTGTGAACAGATGCTGCGTTCTCTCTCTCCTCTCTCTCTCTCTCTCCATCCTTCCATCCCCCGCTGATCCACAGACAGCGGCAGTAGTGATATGCACCACTGAGTAAACATTATTCACATGTAGTAGAGCTCAACTAACATCTTATTAGCATCAACTTTACATATAGTAACTGAGTCCAAATATCATAGCTACACACTGTGACTTTAAATGGAACTAACCCCAACCCTGTAGAATGTTGGTGTAGTGGAGACGTCCTCTTTCTCTCTGCTGGATTAGCTGTCCTCTATCCCTCAGGGTGTCTCTCTCCCTCTTCCTTCTACCCCTCTCTCTTTTCTTCCTTTCAGGGCTAGTGACCCGTCCGTCTGTCCTCTCCCTTGAGTCGGCTAGTCAGCATTCCCCCTCTTGCTCAGCAGGGCTCAAGGCCTTTATTTTCTCTCTCTTCACTCCATCCACCCCTCCCTCCCTTCCTCTCACCCCACCTTAATTTCCTTGGACTCTTGTGTGTGTGTGACCTGTCTCATGTGGCCAGTGTCAGCTAGCCACTGCCCCCTCTTGCACAGCATCATCCATGGCCTCTGTCTATCTCCCTCCCTCCATTCCTCCCTCTGGTGACCTGTCTCCCCCTTCTCCAACAATCCCTCCCCATTGGGATTCTGGCCCAAGGACTATATTTCTCCCTCCCTCCCTCCCTCCCTCCCTCCCTCCCTCCCTCCCTCCCTCCCTCCCTCCCTCCCTCCCTCCCTCCCTCCCTCCCTGTGGCTGGTCAGCGTCCCCTCTCTCAGCAGGGCCCAGGGCTGGCTAATCTGTCACTCTGATTAGCCACCTTTCTCCCTCCATCCCACTCTTCCTCTGCGGCCGATGACCTCTCTCTCTCCTCCCAGTGTGCTGGTGTCTGGGCCTGGGGCCTGTGTGTTGGAGCCATATGTCCAGTGTAGGAGGGGGGCAGGGGCCGGGGGAGGTATGATCAGCATCATCCCCACCTTACTCCCACCTTGGCTGGGTCAGCCTCAGCCTTGATGCTCCCTCCCCTCCCCTATGTAACCACATTGACCTGCATTATAGCTACCTAGAGGTGTACAGCCAGAGAGTTGTCATTTACCTCAACAATCCATTACAACACTGAGACTTGGCCGTGCTAAGTCAGCGGTTTGTAGTAGTCTATAGCTGTCTGTGCTCTTCAGTGCTGGTCCTGGGCATAAGCATAAGCCTGGCCATGTAGATACAGCTAGCTACTGAGTTTTGGAGAGGGGAATATAAAGCCTTAAATCCATCTGTGGACAACATCATCACGCACTGATGTCACCCAAAGGAGCGTCGTTCGGAACTCATCCAGAGACAGCCATTATAGGGTAATACATAGCTTCTATGCAAGCCCAAAGATAGTTACGTCATAAAGTTACTGCACATATTATCTGTTTTATTCTATTGTCCCATGGCTCTAGATGTTTGGATCCCTTCAAATAGAAACTACTGTATTCTTTAGAACAGTCAGCCAGCCAGTCCATCGTCTGGCCTGGAGGCAAAGCACTGGTCTCTCAGGGCCACTGATACAAGGATTCCAGCCCTCCACCAAACCATCAAAGACAAGTTAGCCACTATCCACACCTAGATGCTATACTGCCTTTCTTACTCCTCTCCCCTCTGTATTCATTCAAAATGCTGGGGCTAAATTGAAGTGTCACTGGAGCTTAGTGTGTTATGCAGAACAGGGCCCGCAATAGGGCGAGAAGCCTTTCTACTGTGTTTGGCTGGAGGCTGGCATCTCGCGAGAGCCCTGGCAGTGGGCGTGCAGCCAGCTTTGTTTCGGGGCGTTTTTACTTCACCAAAGGAAAATCTCTGAACTTGTGATCTTCAACACAATTAGGAATGCTCACCCCTTTTAAACCCACGACGCTGCTAATTGATAATCCAGCCTTGTGTGTGTTTCTGTGTGTTTGTATGAGTAGGAAATCCAGTGGTATTCTATTGAAGTATTAGGCTTTTCTCCTATGGAGTTGGGATGGAGCTCCCTGGCGGCTGGCTGCCCAAGGCCTGCTTGGTTTCACCTGCTCTCCTATGGAGTCACTCACTGTTGCCCCTCAGAACTGTGGCTAGTCAAACAGTGTATGATCTGACAATAGCTGACTTGTCATCCTCTTGGTTATCTCTCCCCAGCTCTGTGTGTGTGCGTGCTCTCAAGGGCTTCTGTTGAACCTTTTAGTATAGGTGAATGAAAAGGGATGAGCTAAAATGAAGTTGATTCCCTGGCTGTTGTCTGTGTGCGAACACTATGCACAGCTAATCCACTTCCTTCTCCAGTGTGAGAGACGAGGGAGTGTTAATTTAGCCCTGCACTGTGGCCCTGCTCAATACACATTGTGTTCATCCGCATTTCCTCATTGAATTTCAGCCAATATAATCAGCATTTTATCTCATCCTCATGTGGTTTGGGGGGGCTCCGAGTGCCTCTTATTGCAGAGTAATATGAGTGGAGCTAAATTATAACTCATGGCATTATCACTCTACTGTTCTCTCTCCCACCTCTTCTAATTGAAATTACTCACTCCTGGGATACACCATTCTATTATTAATGTTGTTGGGTGTTTTCTAGGGCTGGGATTTGCCAGGGACTTTGCGATAGGATATTGTCAGGATACTTAGGTGCCGATATGATATATAGGTCTATTGTGACGCGATATTGCGATTTGATGTTCCAAACATATTGCTCACTATGCACTGAGTATACAAAACATTAAGAACACCAGTTATTTCCATGACATAGACTGACCAGGTGAATCCAGGTGAAAGCTATGATCCCTTATTGATGTCAATTGTTAATCTCTAAAAGTCTAAGCTAACATATGGAATTGTTTTATGATTGTCATACCATGGAACATTTAGCTATTTGATTTGGAATTTTAGGACCCCTTTAGGTACAGTGGCTTGTGGAAGTATTCACCCCCCTTGGCATTTTTCCTATTTTGTTGCCTTACAACATGGAATGAAAATTGATTTTTGAGGGGTTTGTATCATTTGATTTACACAACATGCCTACCACTTTGAAGATGCAAAATACTTTTTCTTGTGAAACAAACAAGAAATAAGACAAAAAAAACGGAAAACTTGAGCGTGCATAACTATTCACCCCCCCCCCCCCAGCCACCTTTTGCAGCAATTACAGCTGCAAGTCTCTTGGGGTATGTCTCTGTAGGCTTGGCACATCTAGCCACTGGGATTTTTGCCCATTCTTCAAGGCAAAACTGCTCCAGCTCCTTCAAGTTGGATGGGTTCCGCTGGTGTAAAGTAATCTTTAAGTCATACCACAGATTCTCAATTGGATTGAGGTCTGGCCTTTGACTAGGCCATTCCAAGACATTTAAATGTTTCCCCTTAAACTACTCGAGTGTTGCTTTAGCAGTATGCGTAGGGTCATTGTCCTGCTGGAAGGTGAACCTCCGTCCCAGTCTCAAAACTCTGGAAGACTGAAACAGGTTTCCCTAAAGAATTACGCTGTATTTAGCGCCATCCATCATTCCTTCATTTTTGACCAGTTTCCCAGTCCCTGCCGATGGGAAACATCCCCACAGCTGCCACCACCACGCTTCACTGTGGGGATGGTGTTCTCGGGTCATGAGAGGTGTTGGGTTTGTGCCAGACATAGCATTTTCCTTTATGACCAAAAAGCTCAATTTTAGTCTTATCTGACCAGAGTACCTTCTTCCATATGTTTGGGGAGTCTCCCACATACCTTTTGGCGAACACCAAACGTGTTGCTTATTTTTTTCTTTAAGCAATGGAATTTTTCTGGCCACTCTTCCGTAAAGCCCAGCTCTGTGGAGTGTACGGCTTAAAGTGGTCCTATGGACAGATACTCCAATCTCCTCTGTGGAGCTTTGCAGCTCCTTCAGGGTTATCTTTGGTCCCTTTGTTGCCTCTCTGATTAATGCCCTCCTTGCCTGGTCCGTGAGTTTTGGTGGGCGGCCCTCTCTTGGCAGGTTTGTTGTTGTGCCATATTCTTTCAATTTTTTTATAATGGATTTAATGGTGCTTCGTGGGATGTTCAATGTTTCTGATGTTTTTTTATAACCCAACCCTGATCTGTACTTCTCCACAACTTTGTCCCTGAGCTGTTTGGAGAGCTCCTTGGTCTTCGTGGTGCCGCTTGCTTGGTGGTGCCCCTTGCTTAGTGGTGTTTCAGACTCTGGGGCCTTTCAGAACAGGTGTACAGTTGAATTCGGAAGTTTACATACACTTAGGTTGGAGTCATTAAAAGTTGTTTTTCAAGCACTCCACAAATTTCTTGTTAACAAACTATAGTTTTGGCAAGTTGGTTAGGACATCTACTTTGTGTATGAAACAAGTATTTTTTACAACAATTGTTTACAGACAGATTATTTCACTTATAATTCCCTGTATCACAATTCCAGTGGGTCAGAAGTTTGCATACACTAAGTTGACTGTGCCTTTAAACAGCTTGGAAAATTCCAGATAATTATGTCATGGCTTTAGAAGCTTCTGATAGGCTAATTGGCATCATTTGAGTCAATTGGAGGTGTACCTGTGGATGTATTTCAAGGCCTACCTTCAAACTCAGTGCCTCTTTGCTTGACATCATGGGAAAATGAATAGAAATCAGCCAAGACCTCAGAAAAAGAATTGTAGACCTCCACAAGTCTGGTTCATCCTTGGGAGCAATTTCCAAACGCCTGAAGGTACCACGTTAATCTGTACAAACAATAGTACGCAAGTATAAACACCATGGGACCACGCAGCCGTCATACCGCTCAGGAAGGAGGCGCGTTCTGTCTCCTAGAGATGAATGTACTTTGGTGTGAATCAATCCCAGAACAACAGCAAAGGACCTTGTGAAGATGCTGGAGGAAACAGGTACAAAAGTATCTATATCCACAGTAAAATGAGTCCTATATCGACATAACCTGAAAGGCCGCTCAGCAAGGAAGAAGCCACTGCTCCAAAACTGCCATAAAAAAGCCAGACTACGGTTTGCAACTGCACATTGGGACAAAGATCATACTTTTTGGAGAAATGTCCTCTGGTCTGATGAAACAAAAATATAACTGTTTGGCCATAATGACCATCGTTATGTTTGGAGGTAAAAGGGGGTTGCTTGCAAGCCAAAGAACACCATCCCAACCATGAAGCACGGGGTGGCAGCATCATGCTGTGGGGGTGCTTTGCTGCAGGAGGGACTGGTGCACTTAACAAAATAGATGGCATCATGAGGAAGGAAAATTATGTGGATATATTGAAGCAACATCTCAAGACATCAGTCAGGCAGTTAAAGCTTGGTCGCAAATGGGTCTTCCAAATGGACAATGACCCCAAGCATACTTCCAAAGTTGTGGCAAAATGGCTTAAGGACAACAAAGTCAAGGTATTGGAGTGGCCATCACAAAGCCCTGACCTCAATCCTATAGAAAATATGTGGGCAGAACTGAAAAAGCGTGTGCGAGCAAGGAGGCCTACGAACCTTACTCAGTTACACCAGCTCTGTCAGGAGTAATGGCCCAAAATTCACCCAACTTATTGTGGGAAGCTTGTGGAAGGCTACCTGAAATGTTTGACCCAAGTTAAACAATTTAAAGGCAATGCTACCAGATGCTAATTGAGTGTATGTAAACTTCTGACCCACTGGGAATGTGATGAAAGAAATAAAAGCTTAAATAAATCTTTCTCTCTACTATTATTCTGACATTTCACATTCTTAAATTAAAGTGGTGATCCTAACTGACCTAAGACAGGGAATATTTACTAGGATTAAATGTCAGGAATTGTGAAAAACTGAGTTTAAATGTATTTGGCTAAGGTGTATGTGAACTTCAGACTTCAACTGTACATGTTGCTTATGAGCGCATTTTACACTACCTTTGGATTATAATAAGATTTTAAGGCTCGTATGAATGTCCTGCTAACTATGTTTGTGTCATCGCATATCAACTGCGTTATACTTAAAAAACACTTCAACTTCAACCAGTAAAATGGCTCTTTGGCTAGCTTTTGCTACAGCTTATATCAAT